GGGCCCCAGCGCCGGGCTGACACGCTCCCCGTCCCGCCGCGGGCGGCTCGTGCGGGCCACGCGGCGGGGCACAACAGTCGCGTCCCCCAGCCCCGGCCGCTGCACCGCGTCCCCTCACCTGGAGCGTGGCGGAACCCGCTGCAGCGGACGCAGCCTCCGACCGCAGCGGAACCTCCGAGACCGGAAGTGGTGGGCGGGGCCGGAACCGGCGGGCAGACCGGAAGTGGGTGGTTTGAAACGGAAGCGCGCCGGGGTCAAAGCGGTTATTTACGTTTTGGTTTTTTTTGTCTAACTAGGTGCTAATGCTGTTAAGCCGCTGCCAGGGATTTTTCGCTAAGCGACGAGAAAGTCATTTCCGTGACCGCGACGGTTGCGCAGATGCCGGCGGTCCCGCAATCGCCGCCGTGTGTTCTGCGCATGCGCCTGCGCTGCCCGGCTGGGGGCGGGGAGGATCCTCGGGCCGGTGACGTCGCTGGTATTGTGTGGCGGGAGCGCGAGCTGGGTGAGCGTGGGCGCGGGCTTCTGGTGGGCTGAGGCTGAGTGGGTCTCGGGGGTGTGACGAGTGTGGCTCATGTTCCAAATGAGGCCTTAGAAATATTATTGCTGCGGAAGGCACCACCACTAGTAATTTCAGGGGGTTAGGATTTTTACCTAATCCAAGGAGAACCAGGGGAGTTAGGAAGGAGGAGCAAGACTTCAGTCAGAGCGGAAGAAGTAAATCTGAATATGAGAGATGGAATTGAGATTACTGAACTGTATCTTCTATCCACTTGACCAGCCCAACATCCGTTACAATTGTTCATGCGAAAGAATTTCAGATTCTTAAAGGAAATTCAGAATAATCCATACGGGGAATTCCTAAGGATAACATTTGCTGTTATGCCAAAAAATTATAAATTAAAAAGTAAAAATTGTGAAGATTATTGCCCACTGGATTGGTGTATATGGTGCCTTATTAAATTTTGTTTTGAAAAAGAAGGAATATCCCCAGGATCTTGTTCGCACCAAGTGTTTACCAGTCCTTTTTCCTTCTACTTGACAGCTGTACCCCACTTGCAAGTGACAGAAAGCAGAAAGCCAGCAGTCCTCTAGTTAAGAGCCAATATTTTACAGCCTTCTCTCCCTCTTGGTAATTAATTGATGCACTAGTAATATGTCAACATTTGTTTCTTCAAAAAAATTCAATGTCTTGTCTTCAAAAAAAAAAAACCTAAATTTTTTACATGTGCTAAAACGGCTTGTTTGTAGTACTATTGGTCAAAAGACAAGGACTGGTCTCCAAAATAAATAATGCGCTTTTTTTTTTCCAACCCAATCTCTCTTCTTTGCTTTGTTTACCTTCTAAGTAAGTTTTGCTACTGTCTGCGTTTCCAGTAGTGAATACAGAATTTTGTGTGTGTTGATCACATACTGATGTATTGATAAAGCCACACTATTCATGCCGAGGTTCCTTGCCATCGTTTACAGTGGGAAAGCCATGTGATAAAGAGTTTCTAGGAATTACCTCAGTGTAAATTATTTCACAGTTGCCAAGTGTTGTATAGTGTTTCTCAGAGGATCAGGGTAGCAGAAAAATAGCCCATCTAAAAGATGACTTCAGATTTTCTTTTGAGGGCTGGGAAGATGGCTCAGTAGACTAAATGCTTGCCTGGCAAGCTCAAGGGCCTGAGTTCAATCCCCAGTAAAAAAAAAAAAAAAAAAAAAATCTCTATTAGGTTAAACCCAACTGCATATCTTGTAGGGTAATAACAAGCTTCTCTTCTGGAGGGTTAACAACCTAAGTTTGCAGACCAAAAATCAGAGAAAAAGAAGGGCTGCAAAGACAGCCAACATTTTGGCCCTAGCCTTTCAAGGTCAGTGAGGACTCAGCACATGGGAGAACCTATACTGTAACATTATGTAACTCAGTTGTGTCCCAAATTTTCTGATCAAGGAGATTATGGGGCCACAGAAGAATGTGATGAATGATGTAGAGTGTGCCTAAGGAGAGTCACATGAAGAGAAAACATTCTCTCAGGCTTTCACAGACAGCACAATGGCCAAGCAATGGCTGTGACTCATCCACATGGCTGACACTGACAAAGGATCTACAAAGTGTGATACAGGGTTTCAGGATAAATCCTGGCGAGCGTTGACTGACCTTATCAGATGCAAAAGTTACATTTCTTGTTATATAGGTCTTAATTTACCTTGTTCTTCACCATCCAGCAGAAAAGTATGAAAACGAAGTATAAAAACTAAAGCCACATTAATATACTGAGCTGTAAAAAGCTCAAGTCAACAACTTTGGATAGTGCCCGTCTTATGGAAAACCCACTACTATTATGGACTCCTGGACTATATTGGGAGATTCTGCTGCATTCAAGCACCTACAATATTTAAGTGACAATAGACACATCTGACAAAACTAACCAAAAAAGTGGGATAGAAATGAATGACCCTTTTGTATCTGTATACTCAAAATAGGACAGATACACAGCTCCATTCTCTTAAGTCACTGAATAGAGAGGATTGTTATGATAGTGTTTGAGACAGGATATTATGTCTGCAGGTTGTACAATGAATAACCACTAAGACAGCAATGTGCAATGTATTAATTATTGAAAATGTGCCAGTAATCCATTGTAAAACTGTCTTATTGATATTTGTTTCTCAATAAAACTATTTTTTTAAAAATTTTCTTTTGCCTGTATTGCACAGATGCGTCCTTATCACTGTTACTGTGACTGTCATTGCAAACGTCTACTTCATGTGTTTGTGTATATTTATGTCAACGTGTATATATACTTTTATATTTTGGTACTGGAAATAGAATTCACAACCTCAACCTTGCAAAGCAGGTGCTACACCTCTAAGCTATATACCTTGCCCTATGTATATACTTTAATTTTTAAATCATTATAAATTCAGAAATTGAATCTTGTAAAGCCATAAATGCCCTTAACCATTTTTTTGTAATGACTGAATCTACATAACTTTAGTATAATAGCCCAATCCAGAGACCAACATGAACATAATGTGTGCGTATGATTTTGTGCTATCTTAATGTGTACGTTCCTGTAATCACTGCTACAATCAAGACACACAACGGTTTCATCCTCTCAGAATATTACTTGTGCTACCCCTTTATAGTCGTCTGCCCCTCTTCCTTCTCATACCTGATCCCTTGTTACTGGGCTGTTTTCTGCCTCTGTCATTTTATCATTTTGAAAAAGTTATGTAAATTGGATCAGACAATATAAACCTTTTGGCATTGGCCTTTTGTTTGAGCGTAAGGTTCTTCAGATCCATTTGAGCTAGTATGCATCTTCACTGTGTGTTCCTTTTTGTGACAGTATCTATCTACCACAATTTGTCTAATCATTCACCTATTGGTTATTGTAGTTCTAATTTTGGGCTTTTAGAAATTGTAGAGGACCATCTGAGCAGCTCTCCGTGAAAGAAGAGCCACTGTCTCCATTTTGACTGAGCCTAACCCTATTTCCTCATATTGAGAGTAGGCTAGGATTTGTTTATCCTTCAGTTGGACTTAAGCAATGTATATTGGTCTAATTGAGGAGCTGGTGATAATCTTGAAGGTGGCATGCATGTTTCCCTGGTAACTTAAACCTGCTGCTCTTTAATGTGATCCGGGTTGAGACAGGACGAAGAGCTAATGCTCCGTGCCACCAGCTGGGATCAAACCTCAAGACAGAGGCCATGACTTCCTGGGGCTTGAAAGACTACATCAAAGCTGTAGCACCAGACACACACACACACACACACACACACACACACACACACCCCGCACATGGCAGAGGTAAACGTAGGCCACCCAACTAGCTCAGCTCACAGGAGTCACCTACTTCCCACAATTCTCAGTCATTCCTTCTCTAGCCACTCCTCCACTGAATAAAACCAGATGAGGCCCTTTGGTCAGCCTCTTTGTTCCAGAAAGCCATCTTCGTGGCTGGACTTAGGGCCCCTTGGCTCCCCAATAATTAAAAATACGTTTTAGTGTTTTTACTTTCGCCGTGGGTTGCGTTAAAAGTGGTAGGTTGGAATTCACTTGGTGGGATTCCAATAACGTAATTTTTTTTAGGGTTTTTTTTTTTTTGTTTTGTTTTGTTTTGTTTTGGCAGAACCAGGGATTGAACTCAGGCCCTTGCACTTGCCAGGGAAGTGCTTATTCCACTGAGCCATCTCCCCAGCCCCTGATAACATAATTTTGAGATTACAAATACTGGCTTCTTGGACTGAGACAAGGACTTGGAAGAGACTCCTACAGAAATAAGTAAACCTTTTGCAGTGTAGCTATTAATATAATAAGGCTTAAGTCTGCTACCTTATTTCCTGTTTTCTGTTTCTCTTTCTGTTTATTTCTGCTTCCTATCTTTCTGATTGGTTATTATTTTAAGATTCTATTTTTCTTTGTTATTATATCACCTCATATACTTTTCTCAGGTACTGCAAACAGGGGTGACCTGACAGTGGCCACAACTCTGTTATTTGGTTAGCGTATGTCATGGGTTCTCCAAGAACATGCACAGTTTCACTGATTCTCTAGGAATACACACCGAACTCAGAATATAGTTGTGTCACAAATGAGATTTATTACAGCAAAAAGTTACAAACAGGGTCAGGGAGACAGCTGAGAAGAATAAGTGCTTGTCTGGCAAGCGCAGGGTCTTGAATTCAATTCCTGGTCCCGAAAAAAAAAAGTTACAAACAAAATCAGCAAAGAGAAAAGCCTCATGGAATGAAGAATAGAGGAAACCAGAAACAGGATCCTGAGAGTTTTTTCCTAATAGAATTAAACAAAATACATTGAAGTCCTTTAACAATTAATTGTGACAACTGGTGCCAAATATGTCTAGCAAGAAAGTTCACAAAAAAGGTCAGTGCTCAAGGGTCTTTTTCCCCCCATGTAGGTACATACCTGCTCCTTTGCATGTACCAAATTTCCAAAATCCCAGAATGAAATAAAGTCCAGGCACAGTGAGTCACTCTTATCACTCAGGGAAAGATTCTCACCAATGTAGGAGCTGTAAGAAGTTCCCATATGCCAGACAATGACCAAGTTGAAAAAGTTTGTAGGCAGTTATTACCTGTATTAGCTTTCCATTGCTAGGACATGACACCTGACACCCACAGTTTAAAAAAGGAAACTGAACTTGATTCGTGTGTTTAAGTGATTCAGTCTAACCCGGCTAGCTCCAAGGTATCAACTTCTTAG